AACCCTTCCTCTGTATCAGAATCATGTTCATTGGTGAGTTATTGCTCTTCTTTCTCTCTCAGTAGTGACTACTCCCCTCTTGAGTCCTGTTCCCTAGTCTTCTTCAATCCATTCTTAGGGTCCCATCTCTAGGAATCCTATCTTTGAGTCTCCTTTCTGTCCATTCCATGACGAGACATCGTCAGAACACAAACACTGGGGCCAATGAGGCTGGTCCCTCGAGGCTGAGGAAATACACAGTCAAAGCTCGTCAACAAATCACTAACTTCAAGACCTACTACTCCATCCCCCTCCGGGTCTGTAAATGACTTCGTGCCTGGTCTTCATAGTGCCACCGTCGGCACCTAGGAGGCCATGCCTTTCTATACCAAAGCCATCATGGAATGTGCCATTAGATTTCCCCTCCATCCCTTCTTCTTCGTTTCCTGTCCTGATTTCACCTCTTCTTGGGACAGTGTTGTCTAAACACCTTTATGATCATCATGGGGGTGGTTGCCCTAAACGAGCGTCTGCGATTGAATCTCGGCCAGGAGGAGATTCTTTTATGTTATTCTTTGGTGAGGGTGATGGCCAAACAAAACTACTACCAAGGCCCGAGATCCTGCCATATACCTTGTGACCTACCTTCTAGACTTTGACAATGGGTATAAAGATGACCTGTTCGCCTTCGACAATTAATGGGAAAGGGGAGTCGGCCCTGTGTACGCCGACTTGTGGTGCACCAAGCAGTGGCGGACTACAAGTATGTCAGCTTCTTTCTCTCTCTCTCTCTCTGTTCGGCTTATAGTTGTTTCGGCGTTTTCGTACTTATTTTTTAACATTTTCCCCCTTTTTGTCTTTTACAGGAATCTTCGACGCTGAGTCTGTTGCACCTCCTCAGAATCAAGTTAACCTCGACAACATCATCACAGCCTGGGGATTTGTGGGCAACAAATTTGGCTAAGCTACGCACGTGCTGTTAGACTACACTCCGGGGTACAAAAACTTCTCCTAGACCCCTCAATCGTTTGACCGAGGAAGGTGGTTGGCGTTATCGAGCAAAAACCTAGAAGAAGACCTCGACATAGCCATTGAAGCGAGGACAGAGGCTGCTAAAAACACAGTTGTCGACACCAAGGAGACAAGAGATCCTTCCGCCACTATCCATGCCTAGGAAAGTACTTCGGGCAGGGACGTTTGGCTAGACTTTGACGTTCTACAAAACCTTGAGGAAGAAGACGCCTTGGAGATCTCCATGTCCAACCCGCTTCGTCTTTCCCTCAACTTAATCAAGGAAAGAGCCGCACTTACTACCGGACGAGGGCGCGGCTCAGGATCTGAGGTCACCCCCAATCATGATGCATTCATCCTTCTGGGGTTGTAATCCAAGGGTTTACACCCTTCCCAACTCCTCCACCAATCAATGCACTTGTGGCGTCGACACCGTAAGGACGCTGTTGAGTCCACGTCAGAGATCCTTAACCCTAGGAAAGAAGAATAAAGCAAAGGTAGGATGGCGCTAGTCTCGGTCGAGGCGCTCCTACATTGACACCGATGCCAACTCCAACGTCGGCCCCCACGTCCACATCGATGCTGACCCCAACTACTCCAAAGTGGCATGGTAGGGCCCAAGATTGGGATAACCTGTCGATCTGAGTGATCGACTCCCTCATTGCCTCTTCTCACACCACCTATGCTGTGAATGAGGCAATCCACTTTGATGCTGACATGGCGATCCGCCGAGGGCGAGGGAACAATTAGTTGTTCCATTCCCTTATCCAAAATTCATTGGTGGTAAGCTTCAACACTTTAAAAAAAAAATTTCTTTTTGCTTTAGCGTCTTTTTGAGTGCGACTTTCCTCCCTTTGTCTTCCAGGCGGCTTAAAAAGTGTCCATCATTGTCGAGCATTTCCATGTCCATTGGGACAAGGTCTAAGAGTGTGAGAGACTCTAAGCTGACCTTGAGAAAGCCCAAGGGGCACTCGTCACGGCTAAGAAGGAGGTGATCTGCACACTCAAGGGGGCCAAATTGTCGGGCTCTTCAAAGAGAGCCAAGCCGCCAAGGGGGAACCTGATAAGGTCAAGGCTTCGTTTGTTGATGCCGAAAAGAGGATCATTGAGGCGACGAAGCAGCTGTCTGTGGCCAAGTCAAGGGTAGCCAATTCAGAGCAAACTTGTGCCTTCTTCACTCAAGAATTGGACAAGTTGAGGCTTGAGTTGGAGGCCAAAAAGTTGTCGGAGCAAGAGATTGTCAATCGATGCGCCGACACATCTTGGTGGCCTTAGAAGAGAATAAGAGGGAGTACTTCAAGATTGGGTAGGATGAGGCACTTCGGGCAGTCGGGGTCCTTATTGAGTCCCCACTCTTCAAGGAGCACGAGTACATACCCTCCGAGGAGATGGTGCAAGTTGCAGCTGAGGTTGTGGCTGAGGTGTCGGGGTGCCTCAAGTTCCAAATCCAGCTCTTCCAGCCGAGAATGCGACCCCAACTCCGGCCCCTCGGGATGATGCTACTCTTGTGTTTGCCGATGCTTCAGTCGAGGTTGCTCCTGTCTCTGTCGACGTCGAGCCTGCCCCTCAGGACGAAGCTTCTATGGTACGCACCGACATAATGTCTTCCTCTCATAGCACCAACTCTTTCTCCACCAGCATTGATGAGCTTTTTGGTGGCATCAGAGGTGGTATCAGTGGCAAGGTTACTAGCCCACCATAGAGCAACTTTTTTTTTTTTTTGCAACTTAATTTTCAATTCTTGTAGCTTGAGGGATGTAAAGCCCTCCTTTTTGGAATGCAAGGGTGTTTTTTTCTTTTGCTAAGTGTTGTTTTCTTTTCCTTTCTTGTCTTTGCCATCAGGGCCAAGTCTTTTACTGGGGACCTCAACATTAGAGATGGCAGTGGACCAGAGAAAAATGGGTATTCGTCCAAACCCGTCTCGTTTGGACCGGGGATGGATTATACGTATTGGACGGTGGACGTATACGAGATACCCGTATAAACCTGTGTGGGGATGGACTTACTCTTACCCCCGCCCTGTCCCCATCCTCGTTAAACCCTAAGGCGCCTAAGTTACTCTTCCTCCCCTATTAGCACCGCCCCCCTCTCTCTCTCTCTCTCACATACACACTCCTCTTCGAGACTCTCGCCTCTCACCTCTCTCTGCTTCTCTCAGTCGATTGATCCCTAGTGCCTCCTCCTCTTTGAGTCTTAGAGACTCTCGCCTCTCTCGCTGTCTTATCTTCGAAGCTACAAACCAGGCACAAGCATCCCAGGTTCTTTCTCTCTCCTCTCTGACTCTTTGTATGACAGTCTCTGAGTGAGTATTAATTCCTTTTATTTTTTTGAAATTGAAATCATATGATGAGAGTTTCACGAATTGAAATCATATAATTCCTTTGATTTACATCACATTATTGAACTTGGGGCTTTTTTTAATCTTTGGTTCATACACTTTAACTACCTTTGCGTCGTTGGGTTGATTCATTTGTCTCTTTGTATTCACGAGTATTTTTGTATGAATGTCCGATCATTTTCCCTTGTTTGTTTTTTTTTTCAGTTTTCTTTTTTGGTAGTAATGGTTATATTTGTTTGGAATTTGCTTCTATTTTCTTTTTTCCTGTCTGAGAAAATATTCATATAATCTGTATATATGTATATCTTTGAATAATGAGTATGGAGAACATACAAGAAATGGTTGGCCAGGTGGGGTTCGATTCATTGGCCAGGAAAGTTGGTCTTTATTCAAATTTTGAAGAGCTTTATTTGCTTAATCCCAGAGCTCTCCTTTGCTTATGCTAGAGGCCTTTCCTTAATTTTTGTTGAAGAAATATTGATTCTTCTAGTCACTTGTCCATGGCTAAAAAATTGTGCTTGTATCTACGATTCCACAAGTTTGCATCTGTCATTGTTTTGTTGACACCGATCACTTTGCATGAATCTGTATACTTTCTTCTTATGGCAGAAATGTAATCCTCCCAGATTCCCAAATTATATACCGTAGGTATATATGAGACTTTCGGATTATATAAGAAATATCATCAAAAATCTGGGAAACCCATTTGGAGTGGAACATCAAGACAATATTGAGAATGGTTAAGAGAAACTAATAGTGTTTGGTGCATGAATGTAAAGCTTTTCATTCGGGGGGGGAGGGTGGGGGGAAGTAAGGTTGTTTTGACTGATACATTGAGGTGAAATATATCAGTAGTTTCATGAACCATTCAGTTCTTATTGGTGTTAGTATTGGTGGTTATTACAGGCCTGTGTATCGAATTGGGTTGCCTAATTGATGGTTACACATAAGTTTTAACAAATCTAAGTGAGTGGTTTTAACAAATCTGTGTATGGAATTGGGTTTCCCATATTAGAGCCTTGTGTCTGTTGGTGTTGTCTCATAAGAAATTTTCTATTGAACTGTTAACTATTGAACTTTAGGGACATAAGAATTGTCTTTTTGTTTTTTTATTCATGTCTTGGTTCTCAATATAGCACTCGATATAGCCCTAATGCATTATTTTTTTTTGTTAGGTTCATTTACTTCGACGAGCTTGAAGAGTTACACATTATCGGAGGATCTTGATATTGATGATGAGGTAAATCATTTTAGTTGAAAATTTCTCTTTGAAAGAAACTAATTATTTTTTTCTTTTAATGATATAGGAAAATGATGTTGAAGAAGTAGATTCTACCACCACTAATGGTGTTAATAGATGATTGAATTGGTGTGAAGTTGGTATTAAAGAGATGATTGAATTGATTGAGATGATTCTACCACCCATTATGTTATTTGTGTTATGTTGTGTAATGTTGAATTATATCAAAGTTAAGAAGTATTTGGACATTTGTTGTTTGTATTATGTTCGAATATTTTATGCTACATTATGTTATATTAGATTATTTAGAATTTTATTGGATTATTTAAAATGTTTGATTTATTTAGAATTTTGGATTATGTTGACTTGAACTAGGGCTTAGGCTTGGGCTTATGTTTGGGATTGGGCGGGTACAAGGGAAGCGGGGACGGGGATTATAAATTTACTCGTGGACGGGAATGAGGATGGAAATTATACCTGTTAACGGGGGTGGACCGGGGATGGACGAAAGTTTTTTAAGCGGGTACAGGGATAAAGACTATACCCTACGCCCCCGCTTCGGTCCATTGACATCCCTACTCAGCACCATGGGTCCTTTACCGGGATAAGCCTTCCTAGGAGACTTTGTCCCGGACCATGCCGAGACTGTCCCCTTGGGGGCAGGTTTTCTTTAAAGTTTCTGCCTTCGGGGCCTTTCCCCATCTAGGAGGCTTCCCTCCTTGAGTCTTTTCAGGGCAAGTCTTTTTCTAAGGCCTTGTCCTCGAGGTCATGCCCCTCTAGGAGGCTTCGCTCCCTTAGATTTTTTTGGGCGAGTCTTTTTCCAAGGCCTCACCCTCAGGGTCATGCCCCCAGGAGGCTTCGGTCCTTAGGTCTTTTTGGGGTGAATCTTTTTCTAAGGCCTCACCTTCGGGGCCATGCCCCCAAGAGGCTTTGATCCTTATGTCTTTTTGGGGTGAGTCTTTTTCTAAGGCCTCATTAGGTCTTTTTGGGGTGAGTCTCTTTCTAAGGCCTCACCCTCTGGGTTATGCCCCTCCAAGAGGCTTGCTCTTTTATTTCTTCGGGGGTAAGAGTCTATAAAAACTTTTCCCTCGGGGTAATGCCCTTTCCAGGAGGTATGTTCCTTTGTTTCTTTGGATGCTGGAGCCTTCCTTGAACATTCTGCCTTCGGGGCCATGTCCGGTCTAGGACAATACACTTAGTGAAAATAAGCATTTTGTTCTAAAAAATAATACTTCTACAAATTCATTACATTCCAAGGCCAAATTACTGCATTTTCTTCCATATCCTCTAACTTATATGACTCGAAACCTCCTACTGATACGACTTTGTATGGTCCCTCCCAGTTGGGTCCCATCTTTCCATCAGCCGGGTTGCTAGTATTCCCAACTACTCTTATAAACATCAGGTCGCCTACTTGAAATTTTTGGGGTTTCACTCTTTTATTGTAGAGCTTGGACACCTCTTCTTGGTATTTCGTCAAATCACAAGGCAACTATTTTTCTTCTTTCCTCCGTGAAATCCAAGTCCAGGCTGAGTTAGTGATCGTTCTCTCCGGTGCCAAAATCTTGCATTCTTATAGTGGGGAGGCCTACTTCCAGCTGGATAACCGCCTCTACTCTGTAGGTGAGTGCATGAGGTGTCTCCCCCGTCGGGATCCGCAGAGTCATCTTGTAAGACCAAGCGACATTTAGGAGCTCCTTCTCCCACCTTCCCTTAGCTTTCTCCAGCCTCTTCTTGATTCCATTGATGATAGTCTTGTTTGAAGATTTCATTTGTCCATTGGCTTGTGGGTATGAAGGCATGGAGTAGTAATTTTGGATTTCGAGGTGCTCACAAAACACTGTTAAACTGAGTTCTGTTGTCCAATACAAGCGCGCAGGGGACCCCAAATCTTGTCACTATATTTTTTCACATGAATTTTCTGGTGTTCGTGTTCCTAATGTGAGTCAATGACTCAGCTTCCACCAATTTTGTGAAGTAATCGGTCCCAACTATTAGGAATTTCTTGTCCCAGGAGCCCTTGGAAGGGGTCCGACTCAGTTGAGTTCCTATTGGGCGAACAACCATGGACTGGTTAACGGGTGTAAATCTCCCGTTGGTTGCTTGGTGGTGGGGGCAAACATTTGACATTGATCGTATTTTTGTACGTAAGCCTACGCATCCCTTTGCATTCGCGACCACCAATACCCTTGCGACATGATCCGATATGTCATAGATCTTCCACCCGAATGCCCCCCACATATGCCTTCATGCACTTTGTATAGGAGGGGCTCAACTTTATCCTCAGGGATACAAAGCAAATAGGGCTCTGAGAATGACTTTTAGTATAACTTCTGATCTGAGGAGGCCCAGAACCTTGGAGCCCTCAACTTTATCTTCCTGGCTTCTTTGGGACATTCTGGGAGCTCTTTAGATACTAGGAACTTGAGTAGCGAATCAATCCAGCTAGGAGGCTCTTTCCCTTCTTGGATTGCAATCACCCCCAGGACATCGTTTATGTTGGAGTTGGGAAGGAACTCCACGGTGATCCTGCATGTCATGTCACAGTCCAATGTCGAGGCCAGGCATACCAAAGTGTCGGCATGGACATTCTTATCTCGAGGGACCTACTTGACCTCCACCTTCTTGAACTTGTGGAGTAAGGTCATTGCCTTATGGTGATAGACTTTCATCCTTGGATCCCTCGCTTCAAACTCTCCTTTGACTTGGTTAATCACCAGTAAAGAATCACAAAGGACCGTTAGCTCTGTAGAGCCCGCAGCATCTGCGAGTTTTAGCTCAGAGATAAGAGCTTCGTACTTCACCTTATTGTTGGACACCTTGAAACCCAACTGTACCGCTTTCTCTATGACCAATCTGTCCGGGGAGACCAATAACACTCTAATTCTAGACCCTTTGCTGTTGGAGGATCCATCCATGCAGAGTCTCCAAGAGTGCTCCTCGCCGTCCTTTGAGAACTCTCCCTTGGGGGGAAATGGTTCTCCTTGACTAAATTCAGCAATGAAGTCCGCCAACACTTGTCTCTTTATCGATGTTCAAGGCTTATAGTGGATGATATGTTCCCCCAACTCCATGACTCATTTCGCTATCTTGCTGGAGAGGTCCGCCTTCCTTAGGATCGTCTTCAAAGTTTGATCCGTCAGGACGATGATAAGGTGCGCTTGAAAGTAATGCCTCAACTTTCGTGTAGCTGTGACCAGTGCCAATTCCATTTTCTCCAAAGGTAAGTATCGTGTCTCCGTATCCAAGAGAGTTTTGCTTACATAGTACACCAGCTTCTACTTATGTGCATGCTTGTGGACGAGTACGCCATTGATGGCAAACTCAAAAACGACCAAGTAGAGGAATAACATCTTCCCCTTTTCTTGGAATCGAAAGGGTCGAGAGACTCTGAGATACTTCTTGACCCTTCCGAGCGCCTTTTCGCATTTTTCATTCCAAATGTGCTTCCTAAACCTCTTGATAGAGCCGAAGAAAGATCTGTACTTTGTCTGACGACCATGATATAAAACATTTTAAGGCGGCCAACATTCCCGTAAGCATCTGGACGTCCCGGATGGTCTAGGGGCTATGTACATCCATAATAGCCTTTATCTGCTCTGGGTTGGCCTCGACGCCGCGTTGACTTATTAGGTACCCCAGGAAATTTCTAGAGCTGCATTCAACTTCAACCCATATTCACGGAGAGTGGAGAAGGCATCTTCCAAGTCCGCGATGTGGTCGTTTTGGCTCCAACTCTTGACCAGCATATCATCAATATACACCTCCATGGTGGCTCCCATTTGTCGCTTAAACATTTGATTCATGAGCCTTTGATACATAGCACTCGTGTTCTTTAACCCGAATGACATGACCTTATAATAATAGACCCCCCTGGGAGTGATGAAGGCGGTCTTCTCTTGATTAGGTGGATGGAGGGGGATTTGATGATAACCGGCTCAAACGTCCATAAAGGTCATCCGTTCGTGTCCTGTCGTGGCACTAACCAACTGGTCAGCTTTAGGGAGGGGATAATCATCCTTGAGACAAGCTTTGTTCAAGTATGTGAAGTTCACGTAGACACGCCAATTTCCACTCTTTTTCTTTGCGCAGATAGTGTTCGACAACTATTCCGAGAATTGTACCTCCTGGATGGCGTCGGCCACTAGGAGCCTCTCCACCTCTATGTTCACTGCCTGGGCATGATGCGGTGTTGTACACTGACGCTTTTGCTTTATAGGCTTATAATTAGGGTCAACATGAAGTCAGTGAGTTATAACATCTGAACTTATGCCTTTCATCTTCGCGGCGTTCCACGCGAAGACATCCACATTTTTCTTAAGAAATTTGCCATCTAGGCCGTGAACATGGTGGAGCCAATTAGAAAGTATTTCTCCTCATCTCCCTCCTCCTAGAGGTCTTCCATGGACCGGTCGGCGTGGTAGATCCGTGGCTCATTGACGCCCAGCTATCCTGACTGTAGTTGTTATTTGTTCAGCCCTTCTTCCGGGCACGTTCCCTCTCGTTGGACGTAACCTCGGCCTTTACGGCGGCATAAAAACAACTCTTTGACGAGGCTTGGTCTCCACAAATCTCCATTTTCCCTTCTGGAGTGGGGAACTTCAACTTTTGATGGTAGGTGGAGTGCACTACTCTAAGTGAGTGCAACCAAGTTCGCTCCATGATTATGTTGTAAGGTGAATTAGAATCAATCACCACGAACTCTGTGTCGATCGTGATAGAACCTGTGGTGACTAACAAAGTGATCTTTCCCTAGAGTGAAAGATTCGTTGAACCCAACAGGGGGTGTCTTGACAGCGGTGAGATCCTTGGATCCAATGCCCATTCTCTTCAGCACATTGAGATACATCACCTCCAGGGAGCTTCCAGAGTCAACTAAGACCCTCTTGACGTTAAAGTTTCCTACCTGTAGAGTTATGATCAAGGCATCTTCATGGGGGAAAGACTATTGGCATTCGAGAAGGTGAAACCTCCTTGATTCGTCCGGAGCTTCTTACTTGTTTGGCCCCCATCTTTCTCCTCCACCTTCCTGGCAAAGGTTACCCTCTTCAGGTCAGACCTGAGAGTATTGGTTGTCGACCGCTCCAAGGGGCAAACATGGATGACATTACCGCGAATAGGAGCGAGGTCATAAGTGGAATTTGTCTCTCTCGATGTACTCCTTGAGGTATCCCTCTTGGACCAACTTCTCTAAGAAGGACTTGTACACTAGACAATCCTCAGTAAGGCGCCCCACGTCCTTGTGGTACGAACACCTGGCATTCTAGTTCCTAGTGGACGGATCACCCAGTATTTTAGGCGGCCACTTAAAGAATGGTTCCTTCTTGATCTTATGCAACAACTTGTAAATGGGCTCTTTGAACATGGTGTGGATCCCTATGAAGGAGTTCCCCGATGCTAGGACCAAACCCTTCCTCGGAGGGACTCATTCCTTATCCTAATCCTTTTTGTTTGGGCTAAGTTCTTTCCTTTACTCCCTACCAATTCGTCTTCTATCCTAGAGTATTTGTTGATACGGGCCATCAACTTTCTCATGTCCACGAGCGTCCACTTCGTTAATGACCTATAGAGATCCGTGTCCCGAGCCAAGTCGAGTCTGAAAGAGGCCACTACCATGACCTCGGAACATCCGTTCGTCTCATTCACCTCCTCCCAGTAGCGAGCAACGTATTGGCGGAGTATTTCACCTTTCTTCTGCCGGAGGGTCAACAAGGAGCCGACATCCTTGGGGCATTTGCTCTCCATGATGAACAACACAGAGAACTGCCTAGTCATCTCCCTCTAGGACCCTATGTTATTCATCGGAAGAGTCTCGAACCACTTCATGGTCGTATCGCCTAGGCTCATTGAAAACACCCGGCACAACAACCTATAATATGAGTGGTATAGAGGCATCAATTGCTTGTATTGTCGGAGATAAGCCTTTGGGTCAGAACGTTCATCATAAACCTTAGACTGCGGCACCACAAACTTTTTTGGTATCTCCACCTCCATGATACTTCTAGTGAATGGTGATTGAATGACTTCGTTGCTTAGGTCGTCATCTGGGGTGGACTTGTCCATCCTTATGGAGTTTAATTTAGACCTCAGGTCCCCCTAGCCCTTGTGGTGCTTCCTTCCATCATAGTCATGATGGCCGGCATGCCTCCGGACTCCTCCGCAAGCCTTTGCCCGGATAGTCTTTGATGGAGGCCGTTCCAAGCCAAGGGTTTGGCTCTCTTTGCTGGGACTCCGGGACCTGTCCATTGGCCCTCGGGCATTTGGGAGTTTTGGAGCCCCATGCTCTGCCATTGAGGCTGTTCCTGAAGTCGCCGGCCCCTACCTTCTTGATGGAGGGCTCCTTAGATGATTGCGATTTTCGAGAAACATAGTCGGAGAGTGCAAATTCGTTGAGTCTGTTGAGAACATTTACGTTGTTCTCCTCAATCTGCCTCAAGCAGTCCCTCAACCAATCTTCGATGAAGTTGACAAGTTGACAGGCTAGGGGCCCATCCGTTTCACCCCCAAGGCTTAGTTCAGTTTGGCGGGTTCTTTCTTTAGAATGGATCGAAAGCTTCTTGTTGACGCTTTCGACCTGATCCTTTGTTTGTGAAATGGATAGAGCTAGCACGTCCATGGTCCTCTGTTGAGGACCCTTTCCTTTCAAATGCGTATTCACCATGGTCACTATCACCGAAAAACTTGGTTATTTCCCACAGATGGAGCCAAATTGTGCGCAATGATTTTCGCACAGTAAATAGATTGACAGATCTCTCCTTTGATGAACTTGAATTTGCTTGGAAAGTTGAGGTTCCCCAGCAAATGGGTGTTGAGAGATGGTAATAGAGGATGATGGAACTCTTTGCAAAATTGCTCTGGTCATTCTTAAGTTATCGAACTGAGTCTTGTCACTCAAAAAAAGGTAGGAGGGCACCAGAGTGTGTTCTGGTGTGACCCCTCCGACGATCAAGTCAGTATTTGATAGAGGGTTAGAAAAACATTGTTTTATTACTTGGGTGAGATTTTGCGTGTCTTAGACTTGTGTTTGAGAGTGTTATTCATACCTCTCTAGAGTTAACCATTGCAAACAACTGGGTCCCTTAGAGGGAAGACTCTTCATTGACTCACTTGGAAGGCAACATGTGGTGCATTGTCCTTGAGCAGAGTGCCTTGCTTTTCACGCGGCAAAAGCTTATGCATTTAGTGCCTGAATCCCCGAACATTTAATGCTCGTTTTTCTGACTTTGTCAAGCAATAAATATGTTTCATCCTTTTGTTGGGTCATTTAATGAGCTCTGGTTGTGGCTGCGCAAGCGCAGAGACACTTTCATCCATCACCCCCAAGGGTCAATAATTACATATCTTGTACACCAGACGTCTTCCTCATTGGTTGCTAAATTGTCTTTGCAACCATTTTGGCTGCCTTGGAAAGGGGAATTGATGATTAATAGATAATCCAATCTCTAATGTGGTGACGCCATTCTTGATTCCTTTAAGAACTTAACCATTTGGCATAGGCCAAGCGCCAGGATGATTGTCAACACCTAGGCGGAGTGGGGACTCGACGTCGAGGACGCATGTCAGGAGGAGGGATCCTCGTGGGATTTGGGACACCAAGGACGGGTGTCAAGTGACGAATGTTCTGTGAGGGACTCACGCCAAGGACACTTGTCAGTCTCAGAGAGATCTGAGGAGTCTTGAGTTGAGGACACGTGTCGAATTATAGAGGGTCTGATTCTTGTTGCGCCGAGACATGCGTGGATTCATGGAGGCTCCATGCTCATCATGCCGATGACACGTGTCATCTCCCCATTAATTCGTGGAAACATCTCATCAATTATATTTTCCTGCCCGCTTAGAGTTATTAGGATTTTGCATGGCCTTGTGTCTTGTAGGCTATTTATACTATTAGAATATCCCAATATGGTTTAGGTTTTTTTTAGATATTCTATTACCTTATTTTAATCTTCTAGGATATTCTTTTCAAATTGTCCCAATGCGGTTTAGATTTTTTTTAGATATTCTAGTACCTTATCTTAATGCAATTGGACACATAAATGTCAAGTATAGGATTAAAGCGAAAAGCACAGAGTAGTTGATCAATTGTATAGATTTAAATAAATCACTACAAGAATTATGGAAAAATCTGTCATTTAATTTTTAACGTTTAACTTAAATGCCACTAAAATTGACGTTTGTTTCTATATGCCAGATAATATTAATAAAAATAATAAAAAAAAATTTTTGCTTAATTTCTGGCATTTAAGTCAAACGCCACAAATTCTTTATTAAAAATAATAAAAAAAATTTTTCCCTCCCCCAATATAAACTTAATAAAAAAAAAATTCGTTTAATTTTTGGCGTTTAAGTCATACGGCACAAATTCTTAATTAAAAATAATAAATTTTTTTTTTCCTTCCCCAACATAAACTTAATAAAAAAAAATTCTCTTAATTTCCGGCGTTTAACTCGAACGCCACAAATTCTTAATTAAAAATAATAAATTTTTTTTTTTCCTATACCAACGTAAACTTAATTTTTTTTTCAATTCATTCTCTTGACTTCTCTGGGGAAGACTCTCAGCGGCTCTTCTCAGGCGACAACTCCTCGTCATCCCTCTCACAAGCGACTCCTCTTCTTTGGCTCTCTCTGAGGTGACTCCCTGATCGTTTTCTCTCTCTCTCAGCACGCATTGTGCTGTGATCTATAAGTACCTTTACACATTCTGAGCTCTATTATTGTGTTTTATCTATCTAACTTTTTTACCATTTCGCTTCTTGTTGAATTTGTGAAGGTTTAGTTTAATTTGGTGCAGATTTTTCATTTATTTATTGATTCTGATTTAACTTTGGATAATTTTGAATTCATACAATGTACTAGATCTCTGATGAACCGAAGTCATCCCGCTAGGCATTTAATATATTATGCTTTGGTTTGTAAATAGATCTACATAAACTGTTTTTAACAAGTAACTAGTCTTAATTAGTCTCCTCAGAATGATTGGATTAAGATGGTTAGAACCTCTCTCATCATTTTTGACAATAAATTTATGTTTATAAATTTATCTTTATGAGATTTCATCATTATGCATTTTTCAGTCTTTGAGTTACCATAGAAGTAAGTGGGAATGAGGATGGGTTAACACTTCAATTTTATGATCTTTTTCCAAACTTTTTGGCAACTTTTCAGGGAGAGATTACACACACATGCATATACTTCTGTGGTTGGTGATTATTCTGTTGTCAGAAATCAAATTGCATGATATCCTAAATACACTCACAGGTTTGTTTGCAAACTAAATTAATCAATGCAAACTTCATTCTTTATGTCGTGATTTGTTATTCCCAATGATAAGAAATTCAAATGCAAAACACAGGTATGCCGGCTGTCCAAGATACATGCATATTAATCATTAGAAATTTAGAACTAAGAAAATTGTTGAGGATGAACACCCCAACTCAATATTCAGGGAATTCCTGTTTAATATGTATGTAGTTAGTTTTCATGATAAACCAGCCATATGATAAATAAACATGTAGGAAACTCCTGTTTAAATAACTGCCCATCCAGGGTCTTCAACTCCAATGCACTGCCATTCTGGTGTTGCAATCAGTGGAGTACTTTTCCAGTGCTGTTGTTGCATCCTGTAAATCAAATTTCTCCACATTTAATGTTGAAGTATGCTCAATCACTTCAACATGTGGTTGTGATGTTCTGTGATGTAATTTTTCTATATCCTTACTCGAAACACTCTTTCATGTGCATGGGTCACTCTTTCAATGAAGTGGGTAGTTGCTGGTATGAAGTAGAGAAATTTAATTATCCAAGAAGTCTGGGCCATCCATCCGATGATTTGTGTTTCTGCATCTCGGTAACTTTTCCTCAGTATTTGACTAGAATATAATGTCTTGCTGCTGCTTAAATATATGTATGATGGTATTTTTATCACTATTTATAGGTCTTCCAACAAATCCCGGGCACACTTTTGGTGAAAGGATCATTGCAGCTTAAAGAAAGCCCAGTCTCAGGTAGTCACCTATCTTTCTTGTCGAAGGGTGTGCTTTAATTTAAACAGAGTTAATTTAGCTGTTACAATAGCACTCTAACTACCTTTAACTGCTATTCTGTAACCATTTTGCTAGAAGCATAGTTCTCAACTTGACAAAACAAAGCCTTTGTTCTATTTTCCATTAGAACAACTTTCTTCATTTTGCTCACAAACTTGGTATTTATTGTCTTACTGGTGTCATAACGCCTTCTACCTGAGCCATGCTACACCTATGCCGGTTTCATCATTTTATCATCATCACCTCTGTGTCTCATAGGTGATGCCTGCTTCTTTTTGGACTTCACTGGTGATGCCTAGTTCAGCCTCCTCTGTGTGGATATGTAAACAATTTAAGATCACGAGGCCAATGGGTGAGGAATTTTCTAGGCTCAACCCTTGCAAGTTTGTTTTATCTACTACTGTTTCTAGGTTGACAGTTTTCAGTTTGCATTTTCTTTGGATTATTAATGGCAACTTCAGCGGTTGCCAACATTAGTCTGCTACATGGGGAAAACTTAGATTAAAGTTCTATTGTATCACAAATTTTCTTACATCAAATTAATAAAAAACTTGTGTATATTTGTGCTGGATAAAAATCAGTGTCTACTTCCATATGAGTTACTTTTCTGCAACCAAGTCTACGATGCATTCTTAATTTTTATTTACAGGGGTTTTTTGTCTGCTGGGGCTTTCTCATTGATATTCCAGCAATTAGAAGTAGTTTTGAAAGATAAATTTTGTATTGAGAAGGCATCAGCAGCTGCCTCGTACTCTAATCGTTCACGATAACAGTGTATGATTTGCTGAACTCATACTTGTAAGATTAAAATTTGTACCATATTTTTGGGATATTTACAATGAAAATGTCAGAATTCAACTTGTAGCAGTAGAGTGGCAAAAACGCATAGCATACAATGTTTATTATAATTTTCATGGTTATGTGATGATTTCTTGTGTCATTAATTGTTAATAATATTAATTGCGGCTGTTGTTTTGTTTTATACACAATTTCAGCTTTGTTTTTTTGATCACTTGAGGTTGTCTACATGTCTCTTCCTGTTTATTGTTGTCTGATCATTCTGCTTGCTTGAGGGCCTATTTGTTTCCCACGATCTTGTTCCTGTTCCATTCATTCCATACTGCCTGACCACACCCACATTCATGATTCTTATATCTGACTGGTTGATCCCATAATTTCACTGAGATTTCTGTTGGATATCTCTTACCTACCCAGGTTTTAGGATAGCAGCTGAAATGACTCCTTTTCGAAAAATTAAGTTTGATGGATTTTTTATGGCTGCCCTTTGTGCTGTGTTAGGGTACTTTGTTCCTGCAAGGAAGAACAAAGACGGTGGTGGTGATTTCTAACCAAAATTGATTTGGGGATTTTTTCTTGAAAATTTAGTGTGGAAAATATCTTTTCTTGTTGAAAATTTCTAACCAACATGGCTGCTGAATTTAAGGCTATGTTAGATGGTTTAAATATGCTGGTGAGGTATGGTTTGGAGGGATATCAAGTATTGATTGAATCACTCTTTAGTGGTGGCAAACACTATTAAAGGTATGTTTCAGTGTTCTTGGCCTTATATGGGGATTATGGAGCAGATTGGGAAGCTGTTAGCTGGGTTGCATTTTCAGTTGAGACATGTTTACCGAGAAGCAAACTTTGTGGCAGATAGCTTGGCTAATAAGGCGGTTCAGGATGGGTTCTCCTCTGACTATAGTTCGATCCAGTTGCTTGCACTGGTAAGGATGAAGCATTTACAGGATCAGAGGTGCTTACCTGTTTTGCGTACAAAAACTGTGCTGTGCTGCTTTTTGATGATGGTGGCCAAGGAGCTGGAGTGATGGTGGTGAAGCAGGTCTGCTGAAGCTTTTTGAGAGGCTTGTGGGTATGCTGAAGAGGCCAGTGGGAGCTTACTGCAATTTTTTGGTTGTTTTGTGAGTTTTCTTGATTGTAAAGCTCAAGGCAGTAGGTTGTTTTGAAGGTTTAAAGCCAAGTTGTGGCTCATCTTTTTTGCTTCTTGTAAATATTTCTGTTATTCAATAATTTTTTTTACGAATTTACCCTTAACGGTCATAGCATTATACATGTTTAACCCTATTAATTTATATATACCCTTTATATACACCGGTGAAGCCCACCCACCTTTTATTTTCTCTACCGCCCTTTCCATTTCTCTTTCTTTCTCTCACGTCGGCCTCCACCACCCGTCTCTCCTTTGAACAATCGGTGGTGAAGGCAATGCTAACTGCTAAGCAGCTAAGGTATCGATTGAAAAATAGGGTCAACAACGTTTGTTAAATTGCGAAGCTCTGTTGACCTGAAAATATAATTAGAAACACTCTGTTAATACTGGTCATGCATATAAACAAAGAGACCATACCGTTTATATATTTGTGTCGAGACATATAGAAAGTTTTTTAATTTTTAATTTTATCCTTAATTAATAATATAAAGTTAATCATATACTTTTCTATTTCTTTAGAATGATTAAATATAATAGGTTAATAGTTATTGACATATATTCAATAAAGAGAATAAGAAAAGTTCCTATGCAATAGAAGACTTTTCTTAGTCTTTCCTTCATATAAAAGTAGATTACACATATGAAACTAACAGTTTTGTCTCTAATTAGCCCATATGTTGTAATGATGGTAGTTAATTTCTGATTCTAATATTTTATTAAGACCCATTTGTTAATGAGTATTGTCCGTAATAATTATAAATAGATATTGGTTATATATTGTATTTTATCATATTATTTGTCTTTTAAGTCCATTTTATTATTTTATAATTTTTTTTATTGAAGGGGAGGAGTGTTCTAATAGAATATGAACATTGGACATTTAACTTGTTAATGTTTATTAAAGTTGTGCATTTTACAAGAAGAAATATGATCAACAACTTTAATATATAATATTTTATACACAAAAGAGTATACATATAACAAATGTGGACGAAAACTAATATAAACACATATAAATTTGCAACAACAAACTATATAATCACCTTATTAGGTGGTGGTGGTGGGTTGCTCGCGGTTCTGGGTATGGAGAAAGACACGAACAGAAAGATCTTTGGGTGGGTTGGTGCTTGCATGCTTGACAACATCATGGTGCTGGTGGATAGAGAGTGGGTTGAGTGGGGCTATGGGGGAGTATGGTAGTGTCGGTGGTGTAGCAAAGTACTCCAGATTGTCAGAAGACTAATTCAAAATTATCTCTATATTATTTTGACATGTGCAGATATAGACATGATTACTGTTGGTTGAATAATTTTTTTTCTTTCACAAAATATACAAGTGAATTAGCCTCCTTATTACATTTTGTGTTCGATAAAGCACTAATGTTTCGTTTGGTACGATAGAAAAGTGAGAGGATGAAAAATTAGAGGGATAAATAAAACATCATGTTTGGTAAGGAAGGAAAGTAGGAAGGATTAAAAAGTGGATGAATTAACTTTCCTTCCAACTCACAAAAATCAATCCCTCCAAAATCGGAAGGAAAGTAGGAAGGATAGAAAAGTGAATGGATTAACTTTCCTTCTAACTCACCAAAATCAATCCCTCCAAAATCGGAAAAAAAGTGGATGAAAAATTAATTATTTGTATTGAAATGTATCCTATTTGTCTATATATCTTATGTATACATTACATATAAAAATACAATGATAAAATATGTAAATATATTTTAAAAAATTTTAAAAATTAATTTTTTAAAAAAAATAAAAAATAAAAATTTTTAAAAATAAANTTAAAAAATAAAAAATAAAAAATTTTAAAAATAAAAAATTTAAATTAAAAAAAAAAATTTCATCTTAACTAAGGGTGAAAATTTTCAACTCAACACGATGACACAACTCGAACTCGATACGAAAATAAATAGGTTATCTCGCAACCCGACACGACACAATTAGTTAAATTCGTAAAGTTAAGTTTGACTAATATTCGACACAAACTCGTAATGACTTAACACGAATCTGACACGATACGACTCGTCACCTCTAATTTTAGCCGGTACAAAAAAAAATAGTCATTTTTATTTTTCATCCATCCAACCAAACACAAAGGAAGGAAAGCGTATTCTTCCTACTTTTTATCCTTAAAAGATAGAAAGTGTATCCCTCCTATTTTCTATCCTTCCTATTTTTCATCCTCTCTACCAAACGGAGCATAAGGGCGACAGTGTAAGGGTCTAAAATTGGACAATAATAGAGTTTTAAACATGAATATAACATCCAAGTACTTAAGTACAAATGTGAGTTTTTTGTACCACCAATAAAACATGATTAAAGTGTCCACAACCTTGGTATACTATACTAATTCATTTTCAAAATAGTACACGTGTAACACACATATGTGCTACAACTAGAATATAAAAAGTCTACAATTATAACCCTTCACTCACCCAATTAAACCCATCACTCGCAAGTCCCAATTAACTAAAATCTACTCAATCAATATGTTATCAAAACCATCCAAAAAAATTATTAATTCTACAAGAATTCATATAATATCTCATCAAGAAATTTGAAAAAAAAAACATTTTCTTTTAACATTATTTTTTGTGTTAAAATCGAATTTTATACATATATGTGTGTGTGTACCACTTTGAACTTTAAATAACGATAGAGTAATGTTATTTAAACATAATTTATTGAC